AATTTTTAATTTTATGTTTTCACTAGATGGTGGCATCATGGTGTTATGGATTGGATAATGTTTACAGCTTTCGTGTATGAGAACTACGTTCTCTACTCTTGGCTAAGTCATTTTACAACTTCACAATTAGTTTTCTAATACAAAATGGAAGGTCATTTTGGTCACAATTTTCACTCTCAGTTTTTTATTTTCCTAGTTTTCCATAAATACCACATCTCAAGAGGTATTCTTAAACAGTGAATTTGAGCACAAAATCAACTAAAATATGGTTTCCTAAGCAAACTTCTTTCCTAGACTTTTTTTCCCCATAAACTTGTACCAAACATAGTATTTTGGGATACCTACCAACACTTCCCCATCTATCCCAAAAGAAAACCTCAACCAAACATACCCTAAGGGAGTTATTAATCTTATTTCATAATATAAGTATTTTATGTGGGTGAAACAAAATTGTGGGGTCCATAATTTTTAAAAAATTATAAAAGAAAAAAAATGGGCACAAGATTTCATGAGTATAAATAGTTGTCTTATGTGACATAAGATAACTATTTCCCTAATATTAATTATAAAAAGAGAGTGGTGGGATAAATGACATTAGTTATTATTTTATTTTTTTCATTTTTAACAAGTGATGTATATGTAGGGGTGTAAATAGGCTAGACTTTGACTTAAATAGATCAAGTATGTGTAAAAATATTAGGTTTGGCCTGGCCTGGCTTATAAGCCTATGTATCTTGACTTATATTTAAAAAATAAAAATTGATCTAGGTATGTTAGCCTGTTTAATCCTATTAAATATTCAACAATTAAAAGAAAACTAAAATAATATTACTTTATTATTCAAAATTATTAAAATAGTAATTTCATTTAAAATAAATAATATGATATAGGCCGGCGTGTTGGCTTATAGGCCCAACATGTATAAAAAAACATATGACCTATTTTCTAAATAAATTTTATTAAAAATCTAAATCTATTCTATGTTAGTGTTTGTAATAGTAGGTCAAATATGATCTAATATAAAATAAGTGGTAGGTCGACTTAATCCATTTATTCCCTTATATATATGCAGTACTGAAAATATTTAAAAGTGGGAATGCAATGTCAAGCATAACATAAGCCGTGCGAGTGACGAGACAAGAACAGAAGAGAGAAGCCATACATAGCAATTGATCTTTGGGTTATCAGAGATTCAGAGACAATAGAAAGGTCTTAAAATTTTGGTTCCTGACTGATAGCGACCCATGCCGGAGACCATTTTAAAGGCGCGTGACTCTTCCTCCTACCACCACCACCGACAACCACCTATCTGTCCATGACAGGTGTCACTCCCCTGAAATATCACCGTCGGATCGCTATCGGACGGCCAGGACAGAGGTGCGTGTACAGTTAGGGGAACCGCAGTGTTTGGTAATGGCTACAGAGAAGCGGAAAATCCGGTAGAAGATTGAAAGAGAGAGAGAATGGGGTACGGAGGAGGAATCTGATGCGTCCGAAATCAGAGGGAAGACCCAATTATTGCTCCCCACAATGCCCGACACTCATTATTCTGTCGCTACTGTCCCCACCCACCTTCGTCAATCTCATGTTTATTGTGCAAAAATTACAAATAACCCGCTTAGCCACCTTCAAATTTTGATCGTGCTTTCCAAAATATAATAATTTTAATTAATATAATAATATTCTGTTGGAGAATTTTAATTATATCAAAAAAAAAATCAACAATAATAATTTTATAATTATTTATTTCTATATTTCTTTTTCTTTATCAATATTAATTTATTTTTATTTGATTATAATTTCCCAACACGGTATGATCATGTCATATCATGTTAATTAACATATAAAAACAATGTTATTAAAATCAACTTGGGCATCGACCCAGTCAGGATATTGGATCACTGGTTGGATCAATAGGTCATTGATCGGACCCAGATGACCTAGATATATATAAATATATAAAAATATTATAAATATGAACATATAAATTTAATTATATTCTCCATATCTAAAATGAGTCAAACAATGTTCATTAGATAAGCTCAAAAGTTATCCAATCACACTTTTACAAGCTCATGAAGCACAAATAAATGAAAATGCACCTTATTACTATATCAATTTAAATTGCAACTCAGAATTCTCACAAGCATACCTCTAAATGACATTTTACTCATATTTTTCAAATTCATTTTCATTCAAATGACATATGTCACATTCTCTTAATTTATTGTTTCACAAATTGCTTCAGTATTGAAAACTGAAATTTGATATCATTGTAAAAGAGTATACTAGATGTTATCAAAAAAAAAAAAAGAGTATACTAGAAAATAAAATTACAAAAAGTTTTTAAAATAAATTATATTTTTTTATGACAAGATGAAATAATTTTGTTTTTTTTTTTATAAAAATGCAGGATCCGATCGAATCATCTAGGAAAAGCACTATTTTAAATTTTTTGGGCAAAAGAATTGCCTAATCAAAGCTAATTGGATAAGTTTTATCAAAGTAATGCAGTCAAACATGTCACATATGCTGACGCGACTAGTCCCGTCAGTGGCAGGACTCGTGCCACGTCAGCGCCACGTAGGCAATCCAATTACCGTAAAATTTCGGAAGGCCTTAACTTATGACTCGGGTATCCAAATCAGATAATTTTTTTTTTATTTCAGATAACTTTTCGAGATCTATGCAATGACACCTAATTTGATATATTTTATATCCCACAAACATAATTTGAATTTGTAACAATTGTACCACAATCACAATAGCGTTTAAATCCAGAAGATCTTCAAACTATATTTGTGGGAGATAAAATATGTCAAATGAGGTGTCATTGCGTAAATCTCGAAAAGTTATGCGAAATAAAAAAATCATCCGATTTGGATACCCGAGTCACCAGTTTTGGGCTTCCAAAATTTTAAAGTAATTGGACTGCCTACGTGGGATACACCACCCCAAAAGCTAGTTCAAAGGGTGGGAGTGCCCAATGCCTTATAAACTCAACATTTGTTGCACATACAACTAATGTGGGACTATATATCTCAACAAATGGTTGTGGGAGATAAAATATATCAAATTAGGTGTCATTGCGTAGATATCGAAAAGTTATGTGAAATAAAAAAAAAATCATTCGATTTGGATACCCGAGTCATAAGTTATGGCCTTCCGAAATTTTACGATAATTGGACTGCCTATGTGGCGCTGACGTGGCACGAGTCCCGTCAATGTCACTGACGCGACTAGTCCCGTCAGCATACGTGACATATTTGACTGCATTACTTTGAAAAAATTTATCGAATCAGCTTTGATCGGATAATTCTTTTGCCAAAAATTTTTAAAATGGTGCTTGATTTTGATTGGTGAATTTTGTTTGGATTTTGATCAGATCCAATGGATAACCAATCTAATGTTAAAACCAATCTGATAACGAATTCGTCGAATTTTGGGTGGACCCAGCCACGTGGATCTACTCTCTGGTGTGGTGACTACTAAATCAAAGCAATAACGCTCTTCTTCGTTGCACGTTTTGGAAAATCATGGAAATCATATAGCTGTTTGCACCAATGGTCCCCACCACTAAATCCTTAAATATTCATTGAGCCTTTTTATTTTTCTAGCCTATGGCATAATCAAAGGTAGGTTTGGAATTCTTTGCTTACACATCAGCTAACCATAATGACATACCATGGTGGGTTTTTTGTTTTGTTTTGTTTGATGTTATTGGTGATGCATTTTTGCATGTGGATAATGGCACATTTCTAGAAATGAGTTGAATTATGTTTGGCTAATTGGAGGGAAAAAATTGTAAGCTAAAAAGGCTAGAACGTGACATTATCCAAAGTTCTTTATACCTACAAAGATATCTCATGGCCAAACACCCTACGGCCTATGACTGAAATAGGAAAAGACTGGTGAAACGAATATATTGATTTAGTATTAGAACCTGGCCAAGCTCTGGCCATGATCATTAGCTTGACCAATTGGAAGAAGAGCAACTTTTAACATAATCTGTGCTTATTTATTTACTTAGTGGGTAGTTTTGCATTTCATAATTACTTCAAAATGCATGCATCTAATTGGCCGTGCAAGCACTATAGTACCAGAAAAGATAACGCTTCGTTTAATGGATTAGCTCAGTTTGTAATATAAGTTGAATATGTAGAAAGAAAATCCATATTCAATTTTCATCAAATATATCTTTATTGAAATGCATAAAATTTTAATTATAATTAAGTTTCAATTCAATATTAATGATATAACTAGCTTAAAAAATTTAAACTTATAAAAATATAAAAAACCAAAAAATAATTAGAAAGATATAAAAAATAGGAAAGAATTATACTTATTACTCTTACTATCTATTTGGTTATCGTTGAATTAATTTAAAATTAATAATGATTATTATTTTTAATTGTTGATTTTAAATTAATTTAACAATAAACAAATAAATAGTAAAAATAATAAAATCAAAATGATAATAAATATAATCGCAAAAAAAAAAATGCTTCCACTACTTTATTTATGCATCCAATTCCTAATGTCCCAACAGCCAACCCCTCAAGAAACAAATGAAAAAAAAAAAAAAAAAAATTGATTGGAAGAAGGAAAGAGAGGGTTGAGGTTTTGAGGGTTGGTGGTTGTGCAGAGCCGCAGCCCTATTAGCCGACCCAATAAAGAGAGGGTATTATGGAGCCGACTGAAATGTCCTGCTTAACAGAACACTGTAAAACTGAACACACTCTGCCTCGTATAAGCCTCGGAATATGTCTCTGTTTCCACCACAGATACTCTCTCTCTCTCTCGTTTCCCATAAAACCACCTCTTTCCATTCCATTCACACCAAAACCTCACGCACACGCTTTCATTACGCTTCTTCCATAACAATTCCGCAACATAAACCTACACTCTCATTCGTTTCATTTCCCTAAACAGTTTAATAAATACATCCATCTTTTCTTTTAATTAATTTTAGCTTTCACTTAACATTTCACAACCACCCAATGCCGTCATCGGATTCCGGCGAGAGCCGCCGAGCAACCAAGCCCCAGAACACCGTCGGAGCAGCACCGCCCCCGGAGCAAGAGAACCTTCCGTGCCCTCGCTGCGACTCCACCAACACCAAGTTCTGCTACTACAACAACTACAACTACTCCCAGCCCCGCCACTTCTGCAAGTCTTGTCGCCGGTACTGGACTCACGGTGGCACGCTCCGTGACATCCCCGTCGGCGGTGCCAGCCGGAAAAACTCCAAACGCTCCCGCACCCACCATGCCACTGTCACATCTTCCTCTTCACCACAGGACCACCCCTCGCGTGCGGCGGCGCCGCCCATCGCCGCCAACCAAGGAGGGTCGATGCAGTTCGGTGGTGGAGTTGATGGTGATGTCAAACAGAACGTGAATATTTGCGGGAGCTTCACTTCTTTGCTGAACAACACCCAAGGTTCTGGCTTTCTAACTGTGGGTGGGTTTGGGCTTGGGTTAGAGGAAATGGGGTTTGGGATTGGGAGAGCGGGTTGGGTTTTGCCGGGAATGATGAATGGAGCTAACATTGGCGGCGGCGTAGTGGCTTCCGGCGCCGGAAACACGTGGCAGTTTGAAGGTGGCGAAGGTGGGTTTGTGGGTGGAGACTGCTTCTCTTGGCCGGGACTCGCGATTTCAACACCAGGAAATGTTCTGAAATGAACCCTTTTGATTATTATTTTTTGTTCTCTTGCTGTTTTGGTTCTAAGGGAGTTTGTTCTGATGGTTCAAGTTGAGGGATACTTGCTTGGTGTGTGTAAGGGGATCAGGGTATAATCAATTAATCATCATTTGCCAAATTAGAAGTATAACTAAGACTTTTTCCTTCTTCTTTTCTTATGTTTTGTTTTTGTGTAGTTTTCTCTTTTGAACTCTCTTCTGTGTATGTATTTTGTTTAGTGACTAATTAAGTTGGGTGATTCTATTAGTGGCTGACGTGACTTGTCTTTTAATCTGTTTATTTAATCACGCTTTAAACTTGATTTCATTCCTAGCAAAGATAATGCCACCATGGCTAGACATAGAAGACATATTATTTAGTAAAGAAAAGGAATAGTGTTGCAGTTTCTGACCTAATGTTCTTTTTGTTGGTAGACTTGCATACTTAATTTATGTGTTGAATAGTATAATATTTTAGTTTTGAGAAACTTTATTAGTATATTGTTGTCTAATGTTTTGAAATTATAATTCTTGTGGCGCTTTTTTAATTCTTGTCTAGTTCCCTTTTCAACCTGTTGCTTCCTGCACTGCCAAAGAATACTTAAAATGTAACCTGTTACACTGAAAGATCTCTTGGTCTGAGGTTTGTCTTCTTGTGTTCGTTTTTTTGAACTGCGCCTTTGAAAAGTTGTTTCTGTTCTATTTTTGAGCAAGTTTGTTTCAGACAAATTAACTTCCATTATGAATTAAGTTTGGCTGGGCGCATGGAAGAACTTCTTGATAACCTAGGTAATAAATTACCAACATTTTGATTGTTTTTCTCCTCATTAGACCATATATTTTTCTCCTCATTAGACCATATAATGCTTTATATATTTATGCTTACATTCTTTAATGTAACATCTTTGAAATTACATTAACTGCTGAAACATAATTTAGTTAGAAATTACTATCTTATTAATTTATAAAATATTAGTTATAGATATTCCATGTTCAACGATTATATACAAAAGAATTCCAAACAAAACAAAACCAACTTTTCTTCAATTTGATGGATAGATTTTGATACTTCATTATGGTCATGAATTTGAAACAATTATGAGCTGGTTAATGGTGACAGATTAATTAAATTTTTTTCTCTTAAAAGTTAAATGTGAAACTGTTGGTCGCAGTTATCATAATTTTAATCTATAAAATGTCCCTCGTACAAAATTCTTTGCACTTAAAATGTGAACATTTATTTGACTATTTGAGACAGATTCACTCTTTTTTATTTTCCTGATGTAACTATAACTTTTTTTTTAGATAAACAACATATATCTTTTACGCGAATCAATTTTGACAAAAAAATATTCACATTATTTGGAACTAGATAACTTAACGAAGATTATATTACCATTGATCAAAGAGGATTTTAATAACATAAGTACAAACTACTAAGATTGATTTAGTAATGAGGAGTTTGGATAAGTTATATTAATCTGTAAGTTCAATTCTCATTTGTATATATAGATATATAAAAAATAACATATGTTCTATGAACTAAATAAGTTGAAGTTGTTATCCCCAACCTTTCTATTGTTAGTTACTATTTATAGACAGATTAGTGTCTCCACTTGTTTCATTAATTTATTAAAAATGGTATTTGCACATCGACATTCTTACATCATTTTATTATTTTATTATTAAAGACAATGTGTTAAAATGTGCATTTTTCTTATTTTATTTTTTAAAAGACGTGATGCAAAAATGATGTAGAATTTGTTTATATACAAATATTATTAATGTTAATTTATTTGGACACGATACACCACGTGTTCAAAATAGCTAAACAATGGACTGGTGCCCTTTTATTGAGCAAGAAATGAAACATATCAAGTAAACTCTTGACTTAATCTTCAAAAGAGTAATATGATATACTTGAAATAAAAGGGTATTTGAAATATTATTGAATCGTATTTGAATCTGTACATAGGGGTCTCTATTTATAGAGACTTCTTAACCTAATTTTGACCTAATGGGCTTGGCCCAATATACAAGTAACGGACTAAATAAATACAAATAAATGACTACATAATTACTAATAAATGACTACATAATTACTAATAAATGACTACATAATTACTATTTACAACACTCCCCCTCAAGCTGAGGAATAAATATTTATCATTCTCAGCTTGCTAGCAAGTTCTTGAAATCTATCTGAAGGAAGCCCCTTTGTCAATAGATCAGCTAATTGACGCCCAGTGGGAATGTATGGAGTGGTAATCAACCCGCTATCAAGTTTCTCTTTGATGAAATGGCGGTCGACCGCAATATGTTTAGTCCGATCATGTTGAACTGGATTATGAGCTATACAAATAGCGGACTTATTGTCACATAGCAGCTTCATAGGTCCCTCACATTTTATTTTTAGATCATCAAGTACAATTTTCAGCCACAGTAACTCACAAATGCCTTGAGCCATAGCTCGAAATTCAGCTTCTGCACTTGATCTGGCGACCACATCTTGTTTCTTACTTCTCCATGTCACCAAGTTACCACAAAGAAACATGCAATAACCAGTGGTAGAACGACGGTCAGTCACGGATCCAGCATAATCAGCATCTGTGTAGACTTCTAAAGATAGATTGCCCTCACGTCGGAATAACAACCCTTTAACAAGAGTACCTTTCAGATACTGAAGAATTCTCTCTACTGCATGCATATGTTTCTCCTTTGGATCGTGCATAAACTGACTGACAACACTAACAGCATAAGCTAAGTCTGGTCTAGTATGGGCCAAATATATCAATTTCCCAACTAGCCGTTGATATTGTCCTTTATCAACTGGAGGACTCTCCTCTTCATAGCCCATCTTGTGATTCTGCTCAATAGGAGTATTAGAGGGTTTACACCCGAGCTTTCCTGCTTCTTTGAGAAGATCAAGAATATATTTCCTCTGGCTGATAAAGATTCCTTTGCTCGAATGAGCTACTTCTATCCCTAGGAAATATCTCAGTTTCCCAAGGTCTTTGACTTCAAACTCAGAGGCAAGCCGTGTTTGCAGAATCTGTCTCTCCACAAAATCATCACCTGTGATAATAATATCATCAACATATACAAGGAGCACAGTAAGCTTCCCATTTTGGGAGTGCTTGAAAAAAAGAGTGTGATCTCCTTGACTTTGTTTATATCCTAAGGTCATCATAACCTTAGTAAACTTTCCAAACCAGGCACGAGGTGACTGCTTCAATCCATACAAGGCCTTTTTTAATTTACAAACTTTATTTTCTCCCTTCACAGAATCAAAACCAGGCGGAATTTTCATGTAGACTTCTTCTTCTAACTCACCATTGAGGAAAGCATTCTTCACATCAAATTGGTTTATATCCCAATTGTAATGGGCAGCAAGGGATAACAAAACTCTCACCGTATTCATCTTTGCAACTGGAGCAAATGTTTCTTCATAATCAATGCCATAGGTTTGAGAGTAACCTTTGGAAACTAATCGAGCTTTGTATCTCTCAAGAGTTCCATCAGAATTATATTTCAGGGCATAAACCCATCTGCACCCTACTGCTTTCTTTCCAGTAGGTCTATCAATAACCTCCCATGTTTCATTTTTCTCTAATGCATTCATCTCCTCTTGCATGGCTTGAGCCCAATTCCTATCTTTCAAGGCTTCATGTACTGATTTTGGGATTGCAATAGAGTCTAGTGCTGAAACAAAGCTTTTGTGCTGCACAGAAAGATTAGCAGAGGAAACAAACTGGGAGATAGGGTATTGAGTACAAGAGGGACAGGAGGGACAAGATTTCTTGGGACAAGCTCTTTTTCCTTTTCTAAGAGCAATGAGTAAATCATCAGAATCAGTAGTAATGGGTAAGTCATCAGAAGTATTAACATCATGATCAGAAATATGAGATTCAGGACTTACCAGTGGTTCAGACGATTGAGGTTGCTGCTGAGACAATGTGGGTTGTTTCCTTCTTTCAGGTGTCATAATCTTTCGTATCTCTGGTGTACTTGATGTATCAATCACAGGAGAATCAGTCACAGGAGGATTACTCACAAGAGGATCAGACACAGGAGGAACAGACAAAGGAGAAACAGACACAGGAGGAACATGACCAGGTGGAGGATACACTGACATAGGTAAAGGAGTAGACACTGATGATTCAAACTCAAAGAAGGGAGGTGATGAGATTTTTGGTGAAGGATTCTCCCCCTGAAGATGAGGACCTTGGAAAAAGGACTCAGATTCCTGAAATGTAACATCCATAGAAACAAAAAATTTCCTACTGCTAGGGTGATAGCACTTGTAGCCCTTCTTATCAGGAACATAACCAAGAAAAACACATTTAATAGCCCTAGGGTCCAACTTACTGCGATGATGTTTATGAACATGAACAAAAGCAACACACCCAAACACTCGTGGAGGAAGACTCATCATAGTTGGAATAGAAGGGAAAAAAGAAGTCATAGAGTGAATAGGACTTACATGGTCAAGTACCCGAGTGGGTAAACGGTTGATCAAGAATGCTGCAGTAAGAATAGCATCTCCCCAATAGTATTTGGGTACATGTGTCTGAAACATTAATGCACGAGCCACTTCAAGAAGGTGACGATTTTTTCTTTCAGCAACCCCATTCTGTTGGGGGGTGTCAACACAAGTAAGTTCATGAATCATACCGTTATTTCTTATAAATTGGGAAAAGCTATGATTAACATATTCAGTACCATTATCTGTTCTTAGTCTCTTGAGTTTTTTACCAAACTGGGTCTCAATCGTTTTATAAAATTGAAAGAACAGTTGTGGTACCTCAGACTTTTCACGCATTAAGTACACCCAAGTTACACGAGTGCAATCATCAATAAAAGAAACAAACCATCTATTTCCAGAACCATGAGGGACTTTAGAGGGACCCCAAACATCAGAATGAATAAGATCAAAAGGTTCAACACTCTTAGTAATACTAGAAGGAAAAGACACACGATGATGCTTAGCAAATTCACAAACA